AGTCTGTTCTCATTACAGAAGAAACAGCATATCATTACAGAAAGAAGTTTAAATAGAGATCTGAAGTAACTTCAAGATACACATTTACACTGAAATATTCAAAAGAACACTTGCTAAGTCAGGGACACATGTACAGTCTCTATTTCACTAATTATGGAAAAATATGAATCAAGTGATATTTGTCTTACAAAGTAACTGATTTATTCTAATTTTGTAACTGGAGACATGTAAACATACAGCATTTACACAATATGGTTTTGACTTCTAAGAATACAAGCTCTCAGTGACAAGCTTTAGATATGCAACTTAACCCAGTGGGTATCGAGTCTGTCAAAAGAAGCAACTATACACAAACAGTGCCCCACACCCCCCTGCATCAGAAAGAGAAATTAGATACTTAAGGCAGAAAAACAATATTCCTACAAGCATAAATGATTAAGGCATAAGACCATATTTACAACAAATGGATATAAGATCTCAATTATTCAACTGAGCAAGTGAGTTAATTCACACATTAACTCCTTTTCTTACTACTTCCTTATTTCTGATTCAGGGAATATTTATGCTGCACCTACTGGGCAAGACACTGGGAACACAAAGAAGGGTCAGACATGGTCCCAATGGTGTACTGTGTTTAACAACCAGCTCTTGAGAGGAGGAAAAGCACGTAATTAGAGCATTTGACAATTTCTATGGGGTAAACACTCCCACTACAGACAAATTTCAAGTTACCAACAATTTGATAATTGGCTCACAAAATTCCTGAAACTTTAACAATCATCTCTCACAAGCCATTGTAAGACAGTTCAAACACACCACTGTATGGTCCACAAGTAGCTCATAACTTCTTCATGGGTACATATGTTAGAGAATAAAAAAGAATAGGGAAGATAGAGATAAAATTTAAATAATTACATTTTTGTAAGCAGTTTCAAAAATTAAAAGAAATGCTAAAATCTGTGCAAATTTCCTACTTCTTTTAATATTCCAGTTTTTCTCTTGCTTAAATTTATTTCAGGAAATTAAAATGAAGTATAATGAGGGAAAGTAAAGTATGATGGAATAAGGGAAGAAAAATGACAAGAAAAGACATCCTGAGATATATGCTAAGTAACCATTTTTATGTAGAAGAAAATACCTACTAAGATAAGATCAAATGTAATGGATGTAACCTTTAAAATTCCATCGTCTTTAAGCCCTTTCATTCAGTTCACAGTCCTGAAGATTTGTCCTGTCCTCTTTGGCTGCAGCTTTGATCAGGTTAGCTTCTTTTGTACAAAACTGAGGAGTGTACTGCTTCACACTGTAAGCTCATAACAAAAGGCAAAACTAAATTGTGGAGTCTAAAAACTCCCTTTGCATAGTCCCTTGTATCAGATCTTAGACAAGTGCCGGCTGGAGTGACCAGGAAAGTCTTCTCGTAGCAAAACATGGAGCCTGCAGGTTGGGCATGTCCCCTGCTGCATTAACCAAGGTCTAATGCACTACGGAGCAAAAAGATTCACGTCAGTCTCTCAGATTTGGCCAGCAGAGGCAGCTATCCTATATAATAAAAGCCCAGCAACCCAAATGGCAGAATGACCAGAGACCAGAACAACTGCGGTCCCTTGCCCAGGCTGGCCCCACCCCCCAGCAGGGACCCCCTATCCTGATCGGGGGCATGGCTGGCCTGCAAACCACCTGTGCTCCTTTGCCCTGGCTGGCCCGCCTCCCAGTGGGGACCCCCACCCCGATTGGAGGGCGTGACCAGCACGCAAACCACCTGCGGCCCTTTGCCCTAGTCAGCCCTGCCCCCCAGCGGGGACCCCCACCCGGATCAGGGCCCTCATCAGGGCAGGCCAGCTGGTCCCCACCTGAGCACCGGGCCTCTATCCTATATAATAAAGAGCTAATATGCAAATGGTCATCAAGCCCTCATGCCAGGGCCAGGGGACCTGAGGCTGCGCCCCCCGCCTGGTGGGGCTTGACGGGGGTGGAGCCGGCTGTGTCTGGGTCTCGGGTGACTTCAAGGTGCACATGGGTGGGCAGGGACTTGACTCTGGGTCCCGAGGTGCGCCCCAGACTCTGACAGGAGGGAGATTTTCATATACATTTTACTAATTTTCTTTCATCTCTGACACTTCTATTATAGAGAAAGGGAAAATAGCAATATTAAAATATTTCTTCTAAATAATTCCTTTTTAATGTGCATGAATTTCGTGCTCCGGGCCACTAGTAGAAATATAAAACCCTCCCCCCGTCACCACTCCAACCCAACCTACCAAAGGCTCCTGAAACCACAAAATTAGATCACTGATTCAGGCTAGCAATTCAAACTGTAAAGCCTCATTCACACATGAGGAATTCGCACCTTTCTCCTTCCCCTTGGACTCCGAGTCTCAGGAGGCATGCACGGTATGGAGTTCAAATGAAAGCTCATAAAAGTCACCCTTTTGGGGTCCTGTGGCGCATCCAGGCAGACAAACTGATCACCAAAAGCCAAGCACCAGACTCTGTCCCTTCCTCATCCTGTGGCCTCAGCTCCAGACAGGCACTCCCCGTGGCAGGATACAAGGAGAGCCCCTTCTCAAATCGTCACAAAGACAGGAATGCTCAGGAGGCCAAGATAATAGAAACCTAAGGACCCAAATGTTGGGGCCCGAGCCGCCAGGGCCCATTTAGCACAAGGCCAATGGGAGCTCAGACCAAGTTCTGGTCCAATTCCTAACCTGATCGAGACCCGCCATCCTGGGGGATGCTGGGGTGTGTAATCACGGGGGGCACTCTGGAGGCAGAGGGCCCACCCCAATCCCTGGGCCCAAGGGGCTCTCTGCCTATGCACCCTTCCTCCAGGCACTCAGCACAGCTGTGCCAGCAAAGCCCCAGGGGGCAGGTCGGGGGAGGGGTGGCCGGCCCTCGGCCTCCACTGCAGCTATTTGCACACATGTAATTAGCTCTAATTATTCCGGGCTTTCAGTTTGCCAACTCCGGGCCTGGGAGCTGTGTCTGGAGTGAACTTGCCCAGGGAGCCGCTACTCCACTGAATGAGCCCTCTCATCAGGCTGGGAAGCTCTATTCCAGCCCATAGCACCCTGTGTCGTGTGTCTGTCTCTCCCAGTGCATCACTCTCCCTGTTCCTTGCTCTCTGATCCTGTTTACTCATTCCCCATGTCTGCCTGGGTCCATGTCTGCCTGGGTCTTTAGTCTCTGTCTCTCATCGGATCTCTGCCCATGGAGAACACTCCTGCCACCCCTGCAAAGGAACACACACCAGCAGCATATCTGCCTTTTCAATAAAAAACGACAAGTGGGAAACAGAGTGAATTGAAAAGCATTAACTTAAAAACAATCCATGTGTCTGCAAATGCGTTCCAAATGGCAGCACTTTGGCAGGGGTGCCAGGGGCGGGGCGGATTTGCCACATGTTCTGGAGTCTCAGACACCTTGCTATGGACCCCTCCCACTAGCCACCTGGGATGGCAGGGTCTGGGAAAGTGACTTAGTCTATACTCACCCTCTCGGACCCCCACCTGACTCCCTAGATCCTTTCCCCTGTTCTGGCATCTGCTGGTCCCTCTTACTCCCCCAGTACCTCCAAACCTTTCTTTGCTGACCCCAATTCTCCTTCTGTACCAGCCCTCCCCCCGAACAGATTTCACCCTCTCCCTCCTTCACCCCCAAGTCTGCTACCCCATACTTCTTCCTGCCCTGCCCTCCCCTGCCCCACCTCCATTCTGCCCTCCTGTTCCAGACCACCCAGCAGCCCTGGCTCTAAGAGAAATGGTTAGAACAAAGCTTTCCTTGGCCAGAAGAGACTCTCCAGGGAGCTGCATGCAGAAAGGTGTTCCCAGTCCTGTACCTGCAACTGCTCTGTCCTGCCAGATGCCAATCAGAAATTGTGTCTCTGGAGACAGAGGGTAGCAGAAGTCCTTTGAAGCCCCTCATCAGGAGGAAACTCTCCCCCCCACCCCCAAAAGATCACCCTGCTGCCTCCCTTATCACTTTCAACAACTCTCCTTTGCCCATTTCCTTGGAAGTGGAAGGATTGAAGCACATCTCTCTATATAAGAGTAATATACAAATTGACTGAACAGCGGAACAACCAGAACGACTGCTCGACCAGTCGCTATGAGGTGCACTGACCACCTCCTGATCCCTTCCCTAGGCTGGCAGACTCCAATTCCCCAATGGTGAATGGGAAACTGGGGAAGGGTAGAGGCAGGGGGCAGGGCCAGCTGCCAGCAGCTGGGTATGATGGCCCTGATCACAGGCCAGGCCTAGGGATCGTACCCACGCACAAATTTCATGTGCCAGGCCTATAGTCTATAATAACATAAGGGTAATATGCTAATTAGACCAGATGTCATTCCGGATGTCCTTTTGGACTAAGCTGGGGCTGGAGCGAAGCCCGGGTCCTGGGTGCCTGCCGGCGGCCGGAGGGGAAAAACGCCTACTCTTGCACGAATTTCATGCATCGGGCCTCTAGTTAATCTATATATCAGGATTGTCAACCAACATGTTTGTCAGTAGGTCTTAAAGCCTTATCTGGTAGATTGCCAAGTCAACTGCTGAAATGATGGCATCTTCTCTATGGTTTGCTGAATAATATAGCTGGTAACAGAACACCTTTCAGACAATTTATTCTACTAGGATCCTTCCCCTAACCTCAAATATTCAGGACTAGAGGCCCAGTACACAAATTTGTGCATGGGTGGGGTCCAGCCCACCCCAATTGGCGTGTGGAGGGCAGATTGGGGGCAGAGCCCACTGGGGAGTGCAGGGGCCCTGGGCGGTTGGTGGGCTGGCTCTGCCCCTGGTCAAACTCTGGTGGAACTCCGGGTTAAGGGGAAAATTTGCATATTACACTTTTATTATATAGGATGATTAGCAGTTCTTCCTTCCTAACAAAAAGGTTGAGGAATGTAGAGGGCCCCTGGGAAGGCACATGGGCATTTCTTTAATAAATTGTCAGCTGATACCACGGTGGTAGGCAGAGCCACGTCCTGGATATGCATTTTGCTAAAAAGGCAGAAGTGTTCTCAGCTTGACCTTCATTTCTGCCCAGGTGCCTGGGAGTGGGTTTTATTATGTAAATCCAGCCAAGCACCAGGAATGAACAGGACTCAGGCCCACCCAGAACTGACATTACAAGAATGCAAATAATCTCCTTTGTCTTGACCTTTGGTGAAACTTCCTGGTACTGGGGGTGTAAAATAAACAGGTCTCTGTCTCTCCATCAGAAGAGGACAGCGGTCCCACCTGGTCCCAGGTTTTTTCTTCCATCTTTGTGTCTGTCTCTTTCTTTCATTTTCTCAATCCCCAGCCGCCCCTACTCAAAGAACTGGACTACTCTCTAGCCGCGCTGGACGCGGAAAAGAGAGACCCCTCCATAGAGGAAAGCTTCTATACTTTTTTCCCTAATTTATTATAGATTGTCCTCATTTATAACCCAGGAAAACATCATAACTAAACATTCAAAAGTCACCAACACCTTGTGTCAAGTGCTTACGGTGTTTTGAAGTTAAAATCCCTAGATGATGGAATACTTTTCAGATTACTTTTTCTTTGGTGACAATGGTAGTACATTTGGCTATGAACTATCTGTTAAATCATTTGCTTGAAAATTAATTCTGCAAACATTTTTTTTACCTGTATGAATGATGGAGAGCCAGGTCAAATGACAGCAGATTAAGAATAGATACTATATATGAAGCCCATTAAATCTAAGCCTAAAAAGTAATCTGGATGAATTACCTATTTTCTATTCAATGGGTTATGGCAAAGAATAAAATAAGTTTTATGAAACATTTAATTTCTAAATGAATCTGACTTTTAAAACTTTAGATAGGAAAGTCAGGTGGCTAAGTATCTGTCCTTGAGATCTTTTAGGGTTAGCCATTCTGTGTATATCTCTTCATATCAGAGCAGATGCAAAATATAATTCTATAGCATGTATCACATATCTTTGAAATGATGCTTTACAGATATGGCTTGAATGAGCTGGCTATTGTTCACTTCCCTGAAAAGTCTTTTTATACAAGATTAACTTTTCCAGTGTCAAATTACATCTCTGCAACAGAAGACTTGGGTTATAAATTGTCTATCAATAGCATTTGCACAGCAGTAACACCAGAAGTTATCTATATGAATGCCAAGAATCAACAAAAGTTATGCTTGCCTCACATTTTTCTAACATCAAAACTCAAGCCTAAGCATCATCAAAAACAAATACCGGAACCTGATCACACTACTAAGGTAAGTCTTATGCATTCTAACAGTAGAGGCCATCATTAGTGTGGACAAAGGACACTATGTTATTTATAGCACATCAAGGTGAAGTGGCATGCTGCTAAATTGTCACGGAATTGCCATGTCAATCAACATTCTTTCCAGTTCTATTCAAGTGACTCTCTTCCATTTAAGTACCATCATGTCACCTTCTCCTGTAAAGTATATGGAGATCTGAGAAAGCACAATGCAATCTGTAGCTGAGGAAACAGGTGTAAGTATTTCTGTGTGGGACCCAAAAGCCCAGCACTATATCCACTCAAGAAATAACAGTGGATGCATATGATTTCAAATAAGGCAGTATAAATCTCCCTTAGTTGATTAATGGTAAACATTAAAAGGATTAGTTTACCTGAGAGTGAAATTTGTGAGCACAAGGCAAAACTGAGAGGTTTTCTGGAGAGAGATTCTCATGACAGATCACACAAGGCTCTTCTTCCTCTCCCTCATCATCCTAGGGGAAATACACATAAGATGTATTCAGCTCATTTCTTTCTCCCAGATTAAATTTATAATCAGCAGTCTCAATCTCACCAAATTATTGGCTCCTTCCCACGTGACAGGACCTTGTGAACTGAGAGGCCTCCAGGCTGGTTTTGGGGGCTGGGCAGCATTGGACTGTGGTGGAGGATGGCTATGTGAAACACAACTACCACTTGGCACTGATTTTCCTTGACTCTGAAAAGAAAAATATTACACTGATGTTTTTTAGACTTGTTCTAAAACAGGAAGATGAACAGAATAGCACAGAATGTGATATAGTGAGAATTAGCAAAAGGATAAAGGTCAATCAGATTCATGATAAATCTTGAAACAAAATGTTGGCAATATTACTTATATACTGAGAATTAGGTAAAACAAAAATAACTATATGTATTCTTTTAGTTTAAATAAATGTTTGCAGAAAATTTTGGAGAAAATGCCTCCATTAGAATCATTCAAATTGACCTAGAGTAAATTTCAAAAAGGTCAGTTTATTCTAGAATGATCTGAAAGTATTTCAAAAAGACTTCCCATGCCATTTGTCCGGCTGAAATTAAATTTTTTATTGAGAAGATTTAATACAATTACAGATTATTGATTTTTCCAAATATGTTATGGTTTTAATTAAGACAGCTAACTACTGGAGATGAGGGCCTGAGGGGGCTTAAGATGGAAACTGGATGAGCACAACAAGACACAGTACTGAGAAAAATAGGAGAGATATGGTCCCATTAAGGGGACTGCAGTGTTCCGTGGTCAGGAGGGATCTTAATGGGAGAGAACTTTTCTTTGAGGAGTGAGAAATTGAAGTTCCACATCAGGAACCCCAACCCTTAGTACATGAATAGGATAGATGAGCCCTCAAAACAAGCTTTGAAAACCAACAGAGAATATATCTAGGACAACTATAGAATTGCGTAGAAAAGAAATTCTGCTCTTAAAGGCTCATGCACAGACTCACTCAATCTGGAATCCAGGGAAAAACACCAGATGAAAAGGACATTGACCAGTGATTTTCAACCTTTTTCATATCATGGCACACATAAACTAATAGCTGCGGTACATCTACACAATGGAATACTATGCCGCTATAAAAAAGAAGGAACTTTTACCATTTGCAACAGCATGGATGGAACTAGAGAGCATTATGCTAAGCGAAATAAGCCAGTCGGAGAAAGATAAATATCACATGATCTCACTCATATGCGGGATATAATGATCAACATAATTTAATGAACAAGAATAGATCCAGAGACAAATGGTGGGGGAGGGGGGTTAGAGAGCCACCATATTAGCATAACCAATGGACACAGACACTGGCTCAGTGGGGACTTGCCCGGGGTGGGAATGGCTGGTGTGTGTGTGGGGCAAGGGGGGGGGGGTCAACTGGGGAAAAAGGAGACATATGTAAAACTTTAGACAATAAAAAAAAAAATTGAAGCATACCAAAAATATATTTTTCTTAAAAAATCTGAAAGCCCTAACTGGTTTGGCTCAGTGGATAGAGCGTCGGCCTGCGGACTGAAGGGTCCCAGGTTCGATTCCGGTCAAGGGCATGTACCTTGGTTGCGGGCACATACCCCGTGGGGAGTGTGCCGGAGGCAGCTGATTGATGTTTCTCTCTCATCAATGTTTCTAATTCTCTATCCCTCTCCCTTCCTCTCTGTAAAAAATCAATAAAATATATTTTAAAAAAATCTGAGATAAAAATAGGTACACTTTTGATTCATTCATACCCAATGGCTATTGTTTCCTGATATTTTTTATTTGACAGTCTAAGGGAAAAGAGGTCAGTGCCCCTGACTAGGAATGGCAAGTGTTAAAAATTCTTGTGGCACACCAGTTGAAAATTGCTGACATAGACCATAGTTGAAAGGGACGCATTTACTATTATTGAAATGCCTGCCAAAGAGGCAGGAGGCAGCAGGGACTCTCTGAAACACTGGCGGCAGCCATTTCTGCCATCTAATTCTGCTGTGCTGATGCCAGTACTAATAGACACCATTTAAAAATTCTCCCTCTAGCCACCTAACACCAGTGGAACACTCTGATGAAAGCCCACACACCCCTACAGCTCAGTCTTGCTACCTAGCCTGTCCCACCTATACATGCCAGTAGCGATGGTGGCCCATCACAAGAGAAGGGTGCACACAGCCCAATAGGGGACACCCATGGAGCACCTGGCTCTGGTGGCCAGAGGAGATTCTCTTCTGGGCCCCACAGGACATCACCAACATAAGGGCACTTCATCAATACTGGGAGATATAGATGATCTACCTAATACATAAAAACAAACACAGAGAATTAGGTAAAATGAGAAGACAGAGGAATATGTTCCAAACTAGAGAACAAGATAAAACCTAGTAAAAGAACTAAATGAAATGAAGATAAGCAAAGGTCATAAAGATGCTCACAAAACTTGAGAGAAAAATGAATGAATACAATGAGAACTTCAATAAAGAAATAGAAAATTTAAGAAGTGCCAATCAGAGCTAAAGAATACAATAAACTGCAATGAAAAATACACAGGGGAATCAACAGAGTAGATGACATAAAAGAACAGATCAGCAATCTGGAAAATAAAGTAGTGGAAGTTACCCAAGTTTATAAAGAACAAAAATAAGAAAAAAATTTGTTTTAAATGAGAATAATGTATGGGACCTCAGGGACAACATCAAGCACACTAACATTTGTATTATAGGGGTCCAAGATGGAGATAAGAGAAAGGGGAAGAAAACTTCTTTGAAGAAATAACAGCTAAAACTTCCCAAACCTGAGGAAGGAAACAGACATCTAGGTCAAGAAAGCACAAAGTCCCAAACTAGATGAACCCAAAGAGGTCCACACCAAGACATTATAATCACAATGTCAATAATTAAAGATAAAGAGAGAATCTGAAAAGCAAGTAGCATTAAATAAGGAAATTCCTGTAAGACTATCAGTTAATTTTTAAGCAGAAACTTTGCAAGCCAGAAGGAAAAGACACAATACACTCAAAGTGCTAAACACAAAAAAACCTACATCCAAGAATACTCTACCTGGCAAGGATAACACTCAAAATTAAAGGAGAGATAAAGGGTTTCCCAAACAAGCAAAAGCTAATATAGTTCATCACCACTAAATCAGCCATACAAGAAATGTTGAAGAGAGACTTCCTTAAGTAGAAAATGAAAAAGCGATAACTAGACATAAAAAAATATATGAATGAGAAAGATCCAAGATGGCAGCTAATTAGGGGAAGTTACACTCAGCCTCGACCAGGATCAAACTGGAATTATAATTAAATTATCCTATATAATAAAGAGGTAATATGCACATTGACCGTCACACCCTCACAAAAGATGGCCATCCCCATGTGGGCACAAGATGGCCAGCAGGGGAGGGCAGTTGGGGGTGACCAGGCTGGCAGGGGAGCGCAGTTGGGGGCAATTGGGCCAGCAGGGGAGTGGTTAGGGGCAATCAGGCAGGTGAGCGGTTGGGAGCCAAAGGGTCCCAGATTGGAAAGGGTACAGGCTGGGTTGAAGGACAACCCCCCCCCCCCCCGCCCCAGTGCATGAATTTCATGCACTGGGCCTCTAGTAGAACAATAAATTTGAATAATCAACTGAAGACTAGTTGAACAAAAGTCTTATAACTAAGAACATACAGAAGAAGAGTGGAGATGTGAAAAAAAATGTACCTAGTGATGGAGAATCCAAAAAAGTATCTCAGCTGCAAAGGTTCACCTTGAAGAGCAAAGGGTATCAACTCCATGACAGGCTCCCAGGCTGGAGAACCAGAACAGGAAAAAGGAGCCCATATCACATCTGGCTGTGAACATCAGTGGGGATTCTAACTGCCAGGGACAGACAGGAGTCTGCTAGAAACCCAGGTGCCCTCTTAAAGGGCCAGCACACAAAATCACATTTATGGGTACTCACCCTAGATCTAGCAGAGAATGGCAGCTCTGAGAGAATTTGAGTCCTATAAGGAGAGACTGGGTTATGTGACTTCAGGGAGAAGGCTAAAGTTGCAGCTACCATTGTCCCTGTGCTGAAACCCTCTCCCACATTGTCCACAGACACCATTTTCATGGCTAGAGCACTCCCCTCCATATGGCATCGACTGGCCTGGGGAGACCCAGTAGCCCCACCCTCCCAATTCCCTGTGGACTCACCCTGCCAAACTGACATACTGTTGAGGAATCAGCCAGCTGCAGGCAGTCTGGGCCTGCTACAGTTTTTCTTGAAAGGCTCTGAAGGAGGTCCAGGAAGTTTCAGGGCATGTCAGAGATACATGGGAGAGATGAAGTTATATGACTCTGGGGCAAAGTCATTGCCACCCACCTCCTCCTCCACACACCCCGACTAGCAACGGTGATCCTGTGAAAAGCCTCCTGCCCCAAAGCCAAATCCTGTTATTATAGCTTGATGATATCTGTTGGCCTCACCCTGATGACTCCCTGAGATCATACTGCCCCACAACAAAAATATGCAGGTCCCAGATGGGTGGCAACTGACCTGAACTTGGTGTACGTTGAAAATTTTAGAGTGGCCTAAGACAGCACTGACATGAAGACTGAATCTGTACCAACCTGGTGAACACCACTTACCCCTACCTAGTGATTCAGACCCTGCCTCATGCAACTCATGTACCGCCAATGGCTGAGCCAAACTGGCAGTGGAAGACGGGGCCAGATCTCAGGGTGTGTTGGGCCTTCTGTTAACCAAGGCGAGTTCTGGTGGAAGCTCGCCTTGGCACACAAGTTGGCCCCACAATGTACATCCAGGACCAGCAGAGGCAGTTACCAGCTGTGGTTCACCTTACAGCTCCTAACAGGTAGCCCATAACATCAGTGACTTTTACAAAACACTCAAAGAACTAACACCTGTCCTCTCAAACTATTCCAAAAAATTCAGGAGGAGGGAAGACTCCCCAGCTCATTTTATGAGGCCAGCATTATCCTAATTCCAAAAGCAGATAAAGACACTATGAAGGAATAAAACTATTAGGCTGATATCCCTGATGAACATCAATGCAAAAATCCTCAAAATATTAGCAAACTGAATTCTGCAATATGTTAAAAAAATCATACACCATAATCAAGAGGGATTTATTCCTGGGATGCAAGGTCAGTACAATATGTGCAAATGAATTGAGGATCCAAGATGGCAGCATAGATAAACACCTGAAATTGCTGCCTCGCACAACCACTTCAAAAATACAACTAAAAGACAAAAAGAACATCATCCAGAACCACAGGAAGGCTGGCATAGTGGAAATTCTACAATTAGAAGGAAAGAGAAAAGCACACTGAGACTCAGAGGAGGTGCAGAAGTAAAGTGCAGAGGTACAGAGGCGCATGTGGAAAGGGTTGGCAACTGAGGACGTGGCTGTCTTTTTCAATTGAGAGGGAGTCTCAAGCTTCCAACTGCTCTGAACTCCAGTTCTGGGCGAATCTCTGAGGACCCAGACTCATACAGGGAGAAACTGAACAGTCTGGCATCGGGCGGAACTCGAGGGCAGCTTTCTCTCAGAGGTGCTTGCAAAGATTACCTCTGGACACTGAGACCGGGACTTCTTAGGGCATGGCTGGGATCAGCCATAGCTGTTTGCTCCACCCTGATTCCCTGAGACCCCGCCCCACAGAAGCTGTGCCCAGAGGCTTTTGCATATGAATGGCCTGGCCCTTGGCAATCTAAAATTACCTAACAAACTGCAGCTGGGTCAGAGAGACCCAGAACATCCAAAAGAAGATCCAAGGCCCCAAAGCAGCTTGCACTGCTTCACAGCTGGGCCTCATCTCGACACCTCCAAACCCTAAACAAAGAAGAGGAATCTGCAGATCTCTCCATAGCTTCTGCTGGGTAGCCTCAGACAGAGGCTAAATTAGCACCTCCTTAGAGATCCAAGAGCCAGTGTACCCAGTGGTCAGAGTGGGACCATCCAGATTACAACTCCTCAGATCCATAAGGGACACACTCAGGGGGAAGACTCAGTGAGCACCAAAGCCCCACTGAAGCAAGTCTTGCCCCAGAAGGGTGTCTCCAGCACAGAAGTTCTCCCACCACAGACACAGCCAATTGTCCTTGAGGTCAATTCCTCCCAGTGATACCAACAACAATCAAGGCTTAACTACAACATGACTGTGCACAAAGCCCCCAAAGGGGTGCACCAAGAGTGTCCACCTCAGGTAATTGGGGAGGCTGAGCCACTGGGCCCTATAGGACACCTAGCACAGAAAGCCACTCTATCAACACAGGGAAACAGCCAAAATGCAGAGACAAAGAAACAGGTCACAAATGACAGAATTGGAGGAAAGCAAACTACCTGATATAGAGTTCAAAACCACGTTTATAAGGTTTTTCAAGAACTTTCTAGAAACTGCAGATAAATTTAGTGAGACCCTTGATAAATCTAAGTGAGACCCTTGAGGATATGAAAAAGGACCAAATAGAAATTAAGCATACACTGACTGAAATAAAGAATATACAGAGATCCAACAGCAAACTAGAGAATCTCAAGAATCAAGCCAAAGATTTGAAATATGAAGAAGCAAAAAACACCCAACCTGAAAAGCAAAAAGAAAAAAGAATACAAAAATATGAAGATAGTGTAAGGAGCCTCTGGGACAACTTCAAGCATACCAACATTCACATCATGAGGGAGCCAGAAGGAGAAGAGAGAGAGCAATAGATTGAAAACCTATTTGAAGAAATAATGACAGAAAACTTCCCCTACCTGGTGAAAGAAATAGACTTACAAGTCCAGGAAGCTCAGAGAACCCCAAACAAAAGGAATCCAAAGAGGACCACACCAAGACACATCATAATTAAAATTCCAAGAGCAAAAGACAAAAAGAGAGTCTTAAAAGCAGCAAGAGAAAGACAGTTAGTTACCTACAAGGTAGTACCCATACGATTTTCAGCTGATTTCTCAATAGAAATGCAGGCCAGAAGAGAGTGGCAAGAAATATTCAAAGGGATGAATAGCAAGAACCTACAACCAAGATTACTTTACCCAGCAAAGCTATCATTCAGAATTGAAGGTCAGATAAAGAACTTCAAAGATAAGAAAAAGCTAAAGGAGCTCATCACCACCAAACCAGTATTATATGAAATGCTGAAAGGTATCCTTTAAGAAGAGGAAGAAAAAGAAAAAGGTAAAGATAAAAATTATGAACAACAAATACATATCTATCAACAAGTGAATCTAAAAATCAAGTGAATAAATAATCTGATGAACAGAATAACCTGGTGAATATAATAGAATCAGGGGCATAGAAAGGGAGTGGACTGGCAATTCTCAGGGGGAAAGGGGTGTGGGGGTATGGGAAGAGCCTGGAAAAAAAAATCATACACCTATGGATGAGGACCGAAGGGGGGGTAAGGGAAGAGGGTGGGGTGGGAACTGGGTGGAGGGGAACTTGGGGGGGAAAAAGAGGAACAACTGTAATAATCTGAACAATTAAGATTTAATTAAAAAAATATGTGCAAATGAATTAATGTGATATACCATATTTACAAAATAAAGGATAAAAATATGATTATATAAAATAGATGCAGAAAAAGAATTTGACAAAATCCAGCTCTGGTTTATAATAAAAAATTTGAGCAAACTGGGAACAGAGGGAACATACCTCAACATAATAAAGGCCATATATCACAAAGCCACAGCTAACATCATACTCAATGGCAAATCTAAAACCATTTCCCTTAAGATCAAGAACAAGACAGGGATGTCCACTTTGACCACTCTTATTCAACATAGTACTGTAAGTCTTAGGCACAGTAATCAGATAAGAAAAAGAAATAAAATACATCAAAAATACAAATAGAAATAAAACTAATTATTTGCAGATAACAGGATACTGTATATAGAGAACTCTAAAGATTCCACCAAAAAACTAGTAGAAATTATAAGTGAATTCAGTACACTCCCAGGATACAAAATACATTTTCAGAAATTGGTTTCATTTTTATACACCAATGATGAACTATCAGAAGATGAAATTAAGAAAAAAATTCATTTATAATTGCATCAAAAATATAAAGTATATAGGAATAAATTTAAATATGGAGGTAAAAGACATGTATGTACTTGGAAAATTATAAATCATTGAAGAAAAAAATTGAAAAAAGATACAAATAAATGGATGTATATATCATGTTCATAGATAGGAAGAATTAACATCATTAAAATGTTCATTATACCCAAAGCAATCTATATATTTAATGAATTCCTATCAAAACACTGATGGCATTTTTTACATAACTAGAATAAATAATCACAAAATGTATGTGGACCCACAAAGACCCTGAATAACCATAGCAATCTTAAGAAAGAAGAACCAGGTTTGAGCTATCACACTGCCTATTATCAAACTATACTATAATACCACAGTAATCAAAACAGCATGGTGCTGGCATATAAACACATGTAGATCAATGGAACAGAATAGGGAGCCCAGAAATAAACCCACATGTATATGGTCAATTAATATATAACAAAAAAGGCAAGAACATATAATGGAGTAAAGACAGTCTATTCAATAAAAGTTGTTGGGAAAATTGGACATATGCAAACAAAAAAATTTAAACTACACCACTTTTGTATGCCATACATAAGAATAAACTCTAATGTAACACTCAAAACTATAAAACTCCTAGAAGAAAATGTAAATCAACAAACAGGTGTTGGCAAGAATGTGAAGAAAGGGAACCTTCATGTACTCTTGGTGGGAATACAGACTGGTGTAACTACTATGAAAAACATTATGGAGTTTCTTCAAAAAATTAAAAATGGAATTGCCTTATGACCCAGTGATTCCACTTCTGGGAATTATAATAGTCAAGATATGGAAGAAACCCAAGTCCCCATAAATAGATGAGTGTATAAAAATAACGTGATATATATACACAATAGAATATCACTTGGCCATAAAAAAGAGTAAAATCTTAGCATTTGTGACAGCATGGGCAAACCTAGAGGGTATTATGCTAAGTGACATAAGTTAGAGAAACATAAATACCATATGATTTCATGTACATGTGGAATGTAAAGAGAAAAATAAATGAACAAACAAAACAGAAACAGACCTGTAGATACTGAGATCACACTGATGGTTGCCAGTGGGAAGTGGGTAGGGGAACTGGGTGAAAAAGGTGAAGGGAATAAGAAGTATAAATTGGTAGTCACAAAATAGTCATAGGGTTGTAATGTACAGCACAGGAGTAGTGTCAATAATCTTGTGTG